CGTCTCCGAAAATATTTCAGAAATTTAAAAATTCCAAAACATATCTATGATATAAAAACTTAACACTTCTCTGCTACTCTTTGACATTGTCACTAACAAAAATTTAGGATCTTATAAAAAGAATTTGGGATCTTTAAAGCAAAGACTTTGTTGAATATAAATACGAAAATCTTCATACCACAACACTAAAACTAAACGCGCATTCTTTTAAGATCTTTGCCATATTCCACATATACTGTAGTTCTGCGTTTTTACGTGGTCTACCCTTTAACAATATCATTAGCAAGAATTTAGGATCTTGAAAAAAGAATTTAGGATCTTTGAAGCCAGGGCTTTATTGAATATAAATATGAAATATAAAATTTCATACTATATAATATATAAAAGGTTCTGTTATTTTTACGAAGCCCCAAATTTTAATAGTGTATTACGTAAATCAGCCAATCAGCATGTGATTTGCAATAATCACATCAGAAATAAATCCGCCCATATGTAATTCGAGATAATCACTGGGTTAACTCTTCTTAAAACTTCCCGGGATGCTGAACTTGGTTAAATTTATAATACAGGCAATCTAGTTAAAGCAGCTACTCATGTATAAATTGTGTATTGTAAAATTCAAAAGTGGTTAGACTATGACCATTTTTGAATTTTACAAGAAGTTACAAGGTGGTTTCTTAATTAAAATTTCAATTTTTTTTTTTTATTTCTGTTAACCTTTTTAAATCAATTGCTTAAAAATATTCTATTAAGCACCCAACGATTAAAGTATGCTGTGGCAGTGACGTCGATAATCAACTCAAACTTTGGGTCCAGCCTGGTGTCGTCCCAGCTACCACAAACACCATCATTAATAAACAAGCCTGCGATCTAACCAAACACAATATTAATCTATAAAAAATAACAATTGGTTCTATGAACAATGCATAATGTATTTAATTTCGTAAAAAATAGCAGTTGGTTCTATGAATATTGTCATTTCACTATAAATAAATATAGTGTATATTTGCAATTTTTTATCTCTCTCTCTCTTCTCTATTTTCGTGCTTTTATCGTCAAATATGGTCCGTCTATTAACTTTTACAGCACCTCCATCACAGACCAGTCATAACAGGTCATAAACAGGCTATATCACTAAGTTCAATTAGTAAAAAATCATATGACCTATATGACCATGGTCATATGACCTTACTAATTAAACTTAGTAATATGACCTGCTATGACCTGGTTATGTACCAACACTGCCTCCATCTGAAGACGACATTATTGATGAAGATAAAGGTATCAAATTCGATAATATTCGATGAGCCCCTGCTAGCATTACGAACAATGATAAGTATGGTTCATACAATTTTAACACTTTTTCTTCAACTTTAGTCTTAGTAGATTTAAGTTGACTTGCAATGTTTTTAAACATTTTAGAATAAACTGCACTTTTTGTATCACCAATCCAGTTGATGATTAATTGAAGTTTTTGCCTTTTATATCAAATACAAAGGAAAAAGTAAATTGATACGTAGTTGGAAGTAGTTGTGTAGAGGTAGTTCTGATAATCGAAATATAATTTATATGCTCCGATATTCTCGGGTACTAATTAATATATTTTTTTTTTTTTTGCAAATTTTACAAAATTATCGTTATGCCAATTCTAAAGATACAAGGATCTTCAATTTGCTTGATCCTGATTGGTGAATATTTGTCGATCTTTCACATTTATCA